CAAGTGCAGAAGCAATGACAGCAGGCAGTTAGGTGGGCGGCCGCGCTGGGCCCCCTCCCCAACACTAAATTTCTGAATATGTGAACTTACAGTTATGGCCAGACACAATCCTTCACAGAATAATTCCTGGACTTTTGCCATGCTTTCTGTTTTCCTTCCCAGTCTTAAAAGGACAACTGACATGATGTTTGGAGGAAAGCAAGTGGTTGTCTGTGGCTACGGAGAGGTAAGTCTGGACCATTTGCCCTTCCAATTAAGCTCAGCGTGATTGCGAGAGAGGTTTTCCTTGTGAGGTGAACACAGTGCTGGGAATGACTTCTCTGCTCCAAGATTCTCCTCTAGACAGCTGCAGACGTCTCTAGGAAAGCTGTTCTTGGCATGAACTTTCGAATTCTACCTTGCAGTCCATGGGTATTTCTAGAGTAGCCTTCTGATCATGGATAGTGGTGTACAAGATAACATGCTGTCAAGATCATGATGCAGCCACAGTCACACAGAAAGATACCATGGAAACCTCTTCTTCTGGATAGAACATCTGCCACGTACCTTCTGTCTAAGTCAGTGTTTCTCAACCTTGGCAACTTTAAGATGCATGGATTTCAACTGGCTGGGGAATTCTGGGAGTTGAAGTCCACGCATCTTAAAGTTGCCAAGCACTGATCTAAGTGATGGCCCCAGAACTCTGTTCCAACTCATCCAGGCTTCTACATGAGATCTGGCTTCCTCCCGCACCACAAATTACATAGTTTTTAACCTCTTGTTCTGCAGAAAAATTTGCTAACATACTCCTCTCCCATGGTGATCTTTTGTAAATTAGCAGACATGTTGCTGCCCTGTCTGGACTATCTCAGGCATTCCAAGAGCAGACAGAAGCTCTTTTCAGCCCACACACGATCCCTATTTTGGGCTCCTACGTAGCTGCCAGTGACTTAGGATCCACAGGCAGCGTCTCCTTCCTGATATTCCGCTCTCCGATTGCAGGTCGGGAAAGGATGCTGTGCTGCTCTGAAGGCCATGGGCTCCATTGTGTATGTGACCGAGATCGATCCCATTTGTGCTCTACAAGCCTGGTAAGAACTGAAAGAGGACCTCTTTCGTCTCTTGCTACCTATGCCCCCTTGCCTGTCTTAGGCTGGCCAGGGCTAAGCGGGACGGCCAGCATAGTTACAGATGGCGGCAAAGCCAGGGAGGGCAAAGAGGTCTTGTTCTGTGTCTCCATCGCAGGCTGTTGGCCACATGTCCCATTTCAGCTCTTGAGTTGGAGATGGCTGGAATTGAAGCCTGGTTGATGGAAACCTTGTATTCAGCAGAGGAGCTAAGCCCTAGAAAGCTAACTTGAAGGGCTAAAAAATACGGATGTGCCCAGTTCTCTGGTCTTGAAACACATCAGGCCAGTTCGTCAGAATACTGGTTTGTTTAGTTACTTATTTTATGCCTTTAGCAAGGCACGGCACCAACCAACCAACTTCCTCATGATCCCATTCCAGCTGATAAAAATTAATTCATAACTTAACAGCAAACCATAAACAGCTATTTACAACGAAGGCAACACAACCATGTAGGTTTAGTGCCCGTATGTCCATCTTTAATATAAAACGAGAACTAACCTAGAGATTGCCGGTTCTTAATAAGAACAGAGTCAAGGAAACAGGCCCTCGCAAACCTGTTAATAAAATAAAAAGGGCTTCGGATCCTTTTTAAAGACCATCAGACTTTTTGTAGATGTGAAAGGGAGGAGGGAGCTGGGCCAGGTCTCTGAAGACCCAGAAATAAGACATTTCTGGAGGCTTCTCAGAGGGGGACAAGCCTAAACCCACACAGTTCAGACAGGGTCCTTCTTGTTCCCCAACTTCCCAGGATAGGGAGGGGACCAATCCACAGGAGGCCTGCGTCAGCGTTACTCTTTTCTCCAACCAGCAGAATCGCATTTGTCAGGGCCCTAAAAATCTGAGAAGAAACTTTGGCCCTGTTAATCTCGGGTAACAAAGCCCCATGGTAGAAGTTGAGAGTTGCTTCCTGGGCAGTGTTGTTCCTACTGTCCAAGCCGAGTCATTCAGACTTCCACCCACAGCAGATTTCTGGTTATATTTGGTTCAGGAAGAGATGCCTGTCAAAGTCTCTTAAAGCAGGTGGCAGCTATCAACCGAATTGTTGCACAACGACTGTGTCCAGCTCGGTGATTTCAGCCTCACAGAACAGAGTATTGGTGGTTTCCGGCCCCAAGTTGCAAAAGGCAAATGTGGGTTGCCCGAGATGGTGGTGTTTCAGATTGGGGTGACTTTTCTGGGGACCAGTGTCCAGATCTCAGGGTTCTGTCTCCTCCCTTCTCCCAGCATGGACGGCTTCCGTCTTGTGAAACTGAACGAAGTGATTCGGCAAGTCGACATCGTCATCACCTGCACAGGTACTGGTGTTGGGGATTTAGCATCCCCAAAGAGGAACTCTCCCCCAGCAACCCTGAAACACTTTGTGGGAAATTGTGGGGTTGGGCCTGTCTTGATGGGAGGGGGCGCTTGATCCAGGGCCCATCAGTTCCAGGTGGGACATGCAAGGGAACAGCCCCGTGGCTGCTGTAGGGGAGAGATGCAGCAGTTTTATTTATTGATATATTTATACTGCTGCCCTATGACAACTCTAATTATTCTCTTTTTTGTTTTATAGGCAACAAAAATGTAGTGACTAGAGAACATCTTGATAGGATGAAGAACAGTTGTATTGTTTGTAACATGGGACATTCCAACACAGAAATAGATGTGGTAAGATGTAGCCTGCCTGCCTGCCTCTTCCCTCCGTCTGGAGGTTGCACAGCCTCCAGTTGCAATGCAGTGCATCTCTAGAAACATGAGAGAGTTTTAAGTCTTGTCTTGCAGAGCTAGGCCTAAATATTGGTAAGGAGCAGAACTGCTTTTCCTATGTGCAGCCGAGCTCAGTACAGGTAGTCCTCGACTTACAACCATTCGTTTAACAACTATTTGAAGGTACAACGGTGCTGAAAATAGTTACTTACGACCAGTCCTCACACTTACGACCATTGCAGCGGCCCTGCGGTCCTGTGATCAAAATTCAGGCACTTGGCAACTGGCATGTATTTACAACAGTTACAGCGTCCCAGGGTCACGTGATTGCTGTTTGTGACCTTCCCAGTCAGCTTCCAACAAGCAAAGTCAATGGAGGAAGCCAGATTTGCTTAACAACCGTGGCAAAAAAGGGCACAACTCACTTAATGACCGTATTGCTTAGCGGTGGAAGTTCCAGTCCCAAATGTGGTCATAAGTCAAGGACTACCTGTAAACCCTGGATGTTTGTGAGGTCCTACTGATAGATAACACTGGGGGATTTATACTAAAGAAACAAAGCTAATTCCTTACTTTAGCTAGCTTTCCCCAGCCTGCCTCCTCCAGATGTGTCAAGATTGTAACTCCCACAGTTTCCCCAAGTAGCATTTGAGGCCTGGCTAGAGGCCAAGCTTGCTTCCATTGCTGGCAAGAGGCAAAGAGGGGGGAGTTCCCAGCATCCAAGAGGCTGTTTGCTCTGTCTGGAAACAGAAACTGCCAGGGATACCCCCATGCACCCTCCTGGCTTGGCCTAAAATCTCCCTGCACTTCCCAAACGTTGCTGGTTGTCGCCTCTGATCTCTAGCAAACGTTTCCCAGCACACTTCACAAACGAAGGAACGTTGTTTCTGCATTTCCCTTTGAGTAGGGAGACAAGAGACCAGCCGCCTTGAGATTTTAACATTGCTCTTCTTACAACCAGCTGGGCTTAGAGCAAACATTCCTACGGGATTTACATCACTTCCTTCTCATCCATTGTGTCTCTTACACAAAAACCTCTATAGCATTGTTCTCTGTGTTGGCATATTCCTCTGATGCCCATACAAGTCTCTAAAGGGCCCCTTCCAGCATCGCTTCTCTTCATTCTCCTCCCAGATCCTTTCATTCCCTTACTTTTCATGTCAGTCGTTCCAGCCCAGTCTGCGATTTTCCCACTAGGACAACCTGGTTGGCCAGCAGGAAGGAAGCAGATTAGAAGGGAGTCACTGGTGCCCAAGCACAGAACTGGGACACAGAGCCAGGCCCAGAGTGGCACACTGCAGCGTGCTGGGGTGTTATCTCAGATAGGAAACTCCCTAAAGTGGTGTTTCTTGACCTTGGCTGCTCTGAGCTGTATGGACTTCAACTCCCAGAATTCCCCAGCCAGCCAAGGTAGAGAAACACTGCCCTAAAAAGTTTGGTCAGCCTGGAAAAGGTATTGAACGGACTTCATTCAGGCCGGGCTATGAACGTTTGGCTGGTGCTGTTCTGCGACGCTGCGTGGTCCAGGATGCTTTGAAACCTCCCAATCCTGTCTTCTAGGCCAGCTTGCGGACCCCAGAGCTGACCTGGGAACGGGTGAGGTCTCAGGTTGACCACGTCATTTGGCCGGACGGGAAGAGAATTGTCTTGCTGGCTGAAGTAAGTGAGCCTCACTGCGGCCTGGAAGAGTGGAGGGGGCACCGTGGCTCGGCTGGGGGGACAGGCTCCCGTGGGTCACTCTGATTCTGAAGAGGATCTCTTCCTGAGGGCTCGTTTGGGGGTCAATCTGGGGACTGGACAGTGTTCCTCCTCCTTTCAGGGACGCCTCTTGAATCTCAGCTGTTCCACAGTGCCAACCTTCGTGCTCTCCATCACAGCCACTACCCAGGTGAGTGAGACGGGGAGGCTAGTTCTGCCCCTTGGCGATCTGGCTGCCCTTGTGGGTTGGATGCCATTCTTGCCATTCTCGTGTTACTTGGCAGACCTAGTTCACCTCTAGCAGACAAGGGAGTCCCAGTTTGAAGCAGAAGAAGAACAGAAAAGGGCCCTGACGCTGGATCAGGTCGAGGTCCCGTCTGGCCCAGCCCTCCATGTCCCAGAGGGGCCAACAGGTGCCCTGGGGAACCCCCAAGGAGGACCCTGGTCTTGTGCCCTGTGGCTTCCCAACAGCTGGTATTTTGGGCATTTAAAAACCATTTACCTGGAGGACTGTCGCCCCCGATGGCATTCCAGAGTAAGATCCTGGGGGTGGGGGGCATTTGCATTCCAGGAAAGGCTGCCTGATGATTGTGCCTGTTTAGCGGCCTTGCTGATCGGGCTTTTTTCTCTCCTCTGCGAATGTGGTGGTGGGGGGTCTTTCTGCATCACACAGCACTGGGCTCTGGGCTCTGCAAGCTACTGATGCTTCTTACAATTTGTTCATCCGACATCTATTGCAAAATTGCCTCATATTATTAAGGTCTTTTCTCTCTATAAAGGCCAGTTCATTCGGGCTCCTCCGTAAGAGAGGCGCTCCTGACCCCTGATTGTACAAGTGGCTTTTCCCTTCCCTGACGTCAGTATTTTTGGAGAACCAGAAGTGCAGTGGCATTCCAGATGTGGCTTCTGTGTAGGAGAAACCTGACAGGACAGCTGCCTGTTTCTTTTCGGCCCCTTCCCCAGCAATTCCAAGACGGAATATGCCCGTGACGCATTACTTGCCAGGGCAGAGTGTTTTCCAGCGTGGTCCTAAAGCTCACTCCCTCACACAACTGAGAACCCAGCCCTGGGGGGGAAGAATGTTTTTTCTCCCTTGTGCATCACATCCCACTTCCTCGTCTGCCCTTTGGTTACTCCTGAGGAATCCTTTTGGAGTGTTGTTGGATTTTAGCACCCTGAACAATTGGGGGTTGATTGTGGTTGAGAGCGTGAAGAACATTCTCCTGGCGTCCAGGGGGCACCCGCTTAAGCAGCCTTTGCTGTCTGTGCCAGCTCTTAGCAGGGTGACCCAGGGCCGTGGCAGCTGTGTTTCTGTTTGACTTCATCAACCGGAAAAGTGTGCCCAGTGTTGTTGGATGTGCACCTTCTAATGGCTGTCTTGGAAGGAGGGGTTCTTAGTTCTGTACCGCCGGCAGAAAGAGGGTCCTGCCCTTCTCTGCACATTTGGAAGGATCTGCCCTGCGCACGTGCCCCAGGCTAAAGAGGGGCTCCACAGTTTTCCAGGATGCTGAGTGGAACAGATGGGGCAGAGGGGGAGGAACGGCAGCTCCTGGGCCAGCTGTCAGCGTAGGAGTCCAAGTCCGGTACATCTGGAGCATGCCAGATTGCTGATGGGCCTGGCCGCCTTCAGGGTTTTACATTCAGGCCCTCCTCTGTTCCAAACGTCGAGGCGGGTGAGATCCAGCTGGGGCTGAGCCTCTGGGTCTTTCCCATCCTGTTTCTATTAACAGAACCCTTGTGGTGGGTCTTGCGGGCACAGAGGTGGGCGGGTGTCACCCACGGCTGGGCCTCACAAAAGTTCTTCTTCCAGGCGCTGGCCTTGATCGAGCTCTACAACGCCCCCGAGGGCCGTTACAAGCAGGACGTGTACCTGCTGCCGAAGAAAATGGGTAAGCCTCCGCACGCCAGCCCTTTGGGCAGTGGGAAGACGGGCACCGGGCGGCCCCTTCCCCTGAGAAAGCGCTGAGGTGGAGGTCTTGGGCTCTGTTCTCTGGAGGCCGAAGGGAGGGAGGCGTGACTTGTCGTAGAAAACTGAACCAGCTGTTCCATCTGAAGCAGAGGAAGGGTTTTTGAAGGGCTGCCTGGGGGGCTCAGCCTCTGCCCACATTTGCTACCCACCGCGGCTGGGTTTGCACATTGCCCGAAGGCCGGAGTCCCACGAAGGCGGGCAAGGACAGGATGCCAGCCTTCCCTCCGAGGGCTCGTTCCCACCTTGCAGATCCCAGGTGTCTGGCTGGGGGAGGCTGCCTGGATCTGCTCTTGGACTGGTAGGGTGAGCCTCGTGTGTGTGTGGGGTGGGGGTCGGGGGGGTGTCCCCAGGAGTTTGGTTTGGGATTAGGCTGCAGCCCGCGGTCTCACAGGCCCCCTTCCCCTCTTGTAGATGAATACGTGGCAAGTCTTCACCTCCCCACCTTTGATGCGCACCTGACGGAACTGACCGATGAGCAAGCAAAATACTTGGGGCTAAACAAAAACGGGCCTTTTAAACCAAACTATTACAGGTACTTCCCTTTTACCAACGTTTGATTTTTTGAAAACGTCCAGACGCACAGCCTGCGGGGT